TAATCTAATCTACCAAACAAACGAGATCTAAAGTTAAAGGGTTTGACTTCTCTCATGTTTACAATCTAACTGGAAAGAGCATTTGGAGTTAGTGGGCCCATTGTGAATCTAATTTCGATAATCCAAATTGTTCACTTTTTAGTAGTCGTTGAGAAAAATATTAATGTAAAAAAAATCAAGATGATTGAATTTTGATAGTTATACGTTTTGATCACATTTGTCTTAAAAAATGGACGAAAAATATAATTTCAAAGATAACCGTCCATTTTTAAAAACAAATATGATTCAAACATATAGTTCTGGCATTTCACTCGTAGAATACTTCAAATACTCCTTCATTTTACAATAAGTAATACCCCTTTTAATGTTCGAATTTTCAAGTCGATACTTCACCATTCATGGCACCTGTTTGTCGTTAATGGAATAATAACCATTCCCATAATAAACTAATTCGCACTAGCAGTCCACGGGAAAAATAAAGTACGCCTGCAAACTGTCATTACCATCTAACCTCTTATCATACACATTTACTCTGACCAACCCACTGGCATTGGGTACGCAAAGGGGGAATATTCTATCAATATTTTATCAACCTTAATACTCTTTTGTTTGTATCTTAACTTCAACTGAGAAAATAAATTAGGCAACGCAAGTTCAACACAACTGAAATCACTTGCTAAAACACCTTCAACAACACCAGTTTTTATATCGTCCATCTCCATTAGCCTAAACATTATGAATAAAAATATATAAAATTATAATTGTAAACAATTTTAAAGTACATTTGACTACTTAACGTGATGTTGCATTCTTTTTCACTAACAGTAGCAACCACTAAATATATGGCACCCTTCTGAATATTTCTAACATTTCCCAACAGCGTATCTTTGTTGTCCGTCCAAGCATCAACAGGAAAGAATCAGTCCACAACCACTATTTCGTGACGAACATACTCTTTGTCCTTACCACCATTGAGCTTGAATTTCATTTTCTTTAACATCCAAAACCTGTCGGACTGGTTAGGATTATCCTCATCAACTCCAGTAAATATCTTGTCAAGTGTGGGGACGGAATCTGACAGACTATTATTACTTATGACGAAAAACAAAACGTCGTGGACCACAGCTTCCTCTTTAGCTTTTTATCCCAATTGAACATTCCTAATTAATTTTATACCCTTAACGATGATCTTGTCTGATTGATGGTCACATCTCTTATTATCCAACTCAATACCATTCAACAATCTCGCTACACCTTTATTATCAAATTTAACGTCCCTTAATTGTTCATCGTACAATTGTAACTTCCTTACTCCCCTCTTAGTCTTCTTAATATATCGAGGAATATTCTGAACGTACAGTATATACAGAAAGGAAGCGATTTCATAGAATGTGGAAAATTTTCATCTTAGGGAAAAAGTTCCTCGAAAAACAGAGACGAACTCTGGCAGGGAATACTTGCAGAAGCAGAAATGGAGGAACAATTCTTTGCACTCTGCAAAGAAAGCTACCGAAATTCAATCATCTTAATTTTTTACATGAATATTCTTCTCAATGAGTTCTAAAAAGTGAACAATTTGGATCACCAAGATTGAGTTTATAATGGGCTCATTAAGCCAAAATACTCTCTCAAGTTGAATTTCCAACACGATGGTTGATTTTATTTGTACCCAAATAGTAACTCAGTACGTCCTGCTAAAATTTTGAAATTTTAGTTCCTATTATCCCCTAATATAAATTTACTAATAAGGACAATACATATTAAACCTTAAAATAAATTGTTATTATTATTATTATTTTATCATAGTACACCCTAATCACTTATTCTTTATATTTAAGTCTCATCATCTTCTTTCTCAAATTTTAATAATTTTTTCTTTATCTTCTTCATTACTCCAAAACTCAAATCTATTCCACTAAAATTCATCATTATCATCATGAAGTATTTCTAGATGTTTCTATCAAAGATCTTCGGATAAGTAATTACAGAGAAATCTCAGACCTGCATCAATTATCAAGGAATAGTCTCACAACAACCAGTTGCTTAATAAATCCAAACTTTATGAGCTTAAAATTTCATCTCATCCCATTCTATCAACATTTATTTATCTTTTCTTTTCCAAGTACCTTATCTTTCTTCCACTAAACCAAACATAGATTCCAGATTCGTTGATTTATACTTAAGTTCCTCTAGGGCTACGACACAGCAGACAAGTCGCTGAATGCGAACGCGACGAGAACCAACAATGGGGCTGGGAGATTTGCCGATGTCATTCTCCTTCATCGTTGTCCTTTGCCAGTGCCTCGTTTTTGCATGAGAAATTTGTTTAAGGATTTTTAAAAATGGTATAATTTAAAATTTTTGATTTGTTTATTATTTGGGTGTACCATAAATTATAATTTTATCTTGAAAGTAATTTGTGAAAAAATATAGGGTGCGCTGAGAATAAATTATAGGGAAAATTAGTCTAGGCTCCCTATCCCACTTTTCGTAATAGAAGAAATCCACAACATTATTTTTTGATGTCTAAGATCCCTAAACATATATCAAAGAAATTTGTTTTCGAATTGGTCGATTTTTGACTCTTCAGTTGCTGCCTTAGGTTCAGTTGCCATTCTCAATCAATCTCTTACAAAACCTTGCTTGCAAGTGATAAACAGATTGATATAGAACCTGAGATAGATTTAGAACTCAAATTTGAAGACTTTTGAACCCTAAATTTTGCAGAATCAAGGATACATGTAACATACATACATACATACATACATACATATATATATATATATATATATGCTTGCTTGATGATAGACACAAGAGAATCCACTTACAAGTAACAGCGTATGAACTCTGCGAACGATTTGTCTGCTTGGTTCCACTCTTCACATCATAGCGCAAGAAGAGCAATAGACCCACCTCGGACGTGTATAACTTCGGCCCTGGAACAGAGATGGACTAATCTCGGCCATTGTCCAGACCTGCAATATCCTCCATACAAATACCAGCGGCACCTCATAACTGGAGTGATATTGCAGCTGCTTGAAAGATACCTCCATACACAGCCCAGAGCACCCTCAAAAATGGTAACACCATTACAACACCAACAAAACTCAAAGCAAGTAAAACCAAGCAGAACTCTATCTCTTTGCCTCTTAATCGGGTCCAAAACTTCAAAAGCGAGAAGATGAACCTACGAAAGAACAAACTCACATGCTCAATCTCACTCATAGATGAGGAGAAGGAGATAACAGAACACCATTACCAGGGGGAGCTTTTTCTCTCTTTATTTTGAATATCTATTTCGATTATTTTTTTTCATTTGAACTGAATTTTCTCCAGAGAAATTCTCAACCCAGAGAAAATTTAGTTCAAATGAAAAAAAATAATCGAAATAGACGTTCTGTGAGCTAAATTACCAGAGAAATTATCAATCTAGAGAAAATTCAGTTCCATTGCCAAATACTCCTAGAAGCTTGCAATTCACTGTTGCACTTTGCTAAAGCTTCTTTCAGCATCTTCAGAGAAATTTGGTTAAAACACATTATGAAAACACATTTGATAAACACATTTGATATCATGAGAAACAACATCGTCAGAGAAATTTGGTTAAAACACATTATGAAAACACATTTGATAAATTTCGAAGTTAGAGAAATTTGGTTAAAACACATTCCGAAGTCAGAGAAATTCAGAATTTCTCTGGAGATAAATCCAAAATTTCTCTGGAGAGAAATTCCGAAGTCCAAAGAAATTTCCAGAATTTCTCTAGAGTGAAATTTCTTTGGACCAATTTTCTCTAGATCAATTTTCTCTGGATCAACTTGAGGGACCTTAGACATTATGAAAATATTGAGTGTCCTTTATACTGTAAAATTTTAATACCAGGGACCTTAAAAAAAATTCCCCATTATAATCCTAAATAATTTAATTTGGATGATCTAAATAAGTATATTTTGATTTTTTACGAAAAGATGTATAAAAAAATAGAAAAATGATGTGATATAAATACGTGCACTTATCTAATTAAGTGAACTTGTTTAGTTTATACTAAATAGTGCTAGAGAGTACTGAGAAATTTGACGTACTAAGGTCTCGTTTGGCAAATAACTTTTTTATCCAAAAAGTCAAAGTTACTAAAAAAATCAAAAAGCCAACAAAGCCAAAAAGCCAACAGATGTATAGAAAAATAGAAAAATAATGTGATATAAATACGTGCACTTATCTAATTAAGTGAACTTGTTTAGTTTATACTAAATAGTGCTAGAGAGTACTGAGAAATTTGACGTACTAAGGTCTCGTTTGGCAAATAACTTTTTTATCCAAAAAGTCAAAGTTACTAAAAAAATCAAAAAGCCAACAACCTATACTAAAAAGTCAAAGATTCTATTTTCTCTGTACTTTTTACACATCTTTTCGTAAAAAATTAAAAAGTCATTCCAAACATATTAATTTTTTTACATCATATTTTATTCAAAAAGTTAAAAAGTTATTAAAAAAGCATATTCCCAAATGAGGTCTAGGTTTCTATTTGGTGCAAGTAAAAGCAAACTCAAAATTAAGAAAGTCTATTAATTCAAATAAATTAAGTGGAGTATAAGGTATGAAAATCAAAATCGAACCTTAATGGATATGAAAATGAAAAATGCTTAGCTCTAGAGCAAGAGCTCTAAAGCATACTCTAATGATATGACAGTTATGTGGGGATTACCTTAATGCGATATTTTAGCTTAAATTTTTGTTTTTTTTACTTTTTTAGAACCTGCTAGTTCAGTATAACTTTGTTTAAAACTTTGCTTTTAGAGCTCTAGATCATCATTGTATGAAAATTATCAGAACCACTCCCTATGATTTATGCTTTCAATTTTCTTGAAATTATCAGAAGTGGGCTTGGGCCATGATCATACTAATCTACTCCCCAACTGTCAAAACGGCTCATAAAAGTGTGTCCAACCCATTAAAGCCCTATTATACAAAGAGCGCCAAAAACTGCCGAATATAACCAAGAAATATTATATGAGTTGGTAGTGAATTGGCAACAGTCGTTGATCAAACTCACAAACACGTAGAAAAACAAACGCACTCACTTCTTTGGTAGCTCCGCCCCTCCAACTGACCTCACAAAGCTCTCTCTCACTTCAAAAACCCTCCCACTTCTCTCTTCTCTCTCCTCAACCCCCCACCATTTCCAAACCCTCTCTCTCTCTCTCTCTCTCTCTCTCTCTCTCACAAAATGCAATCCTCACTCTCTCTTTCTCTCTCTCCCCCTTCTTCCATTTCCAGATCCGATCGCACTGTCGTCGCCGACAACATCTTCTTCGCCGGCTCCGGCTCCCTCGTGCCGCGCTCGCTTCGATTCTGCGGCTTCAGAAGGGAAGTTTTCGGACTCCGATCTTCCAATTCAGCTCGGCTCGTTGCGAAGCAGAGGAACTTGAACAAGGTATCGGCGTCGTTGTCTGGCAATGGCTCCCCGTCGAAAGGATTCGACTACGATTTGGTTATAATTGGGGCCGGCGTTGGCGGTCACGGCGCCGCTCTCCATGCTGTCGAGAAGGTAATGCGATTTATATGTGATTCAAGGTTCATTGCGTAAATTGCATTGAATTTGATTTGTTCTGATTGTGAATTTGCTAAAATGCAATTATGTGAAGAAAAAAAAGATAGAAGTTCGAATTGAATTTCTGATGTCAGCTGAATTTGTTCAATTTGATTTGTTTTGATTGTGAATTTGCTAAAATGTAATTATATGGGGAAGAAAAAAAAAAGAAAAAGAAAAGAAAAGAAGAAGATAGAAATTTGAATTGAATTGCTGATGTCAGCTGAATTTGTTCAATTTGACTTGTTTTGATTGTGAATTTGCTAAAATGTAATTATGTGAAAAAAAAGGATAGAAATTTGAATTGCTGACGTCGGCTGAATTTGTTCAATTTGAATTTGTTTTGATTGTGAATTTGCTAAAATGTAATTATGTGGAAAAAAAAAAAGAAGAGAAAGATCGAAATTTGAATTGAATTGCTGATGTCAGCTGAATTTGTTCAATTTGAATTTGTTTTGATTGTGAATTTTCTAAAATGTAATTATGTGGAAAAAAAGAAATATAGAAATTTGAATTGCTGACATCAGCTGAATTTGTTCAATTTGAATTTGTTTTGATTGTGAATTTTCTAAAATGTAATTGTGTGCAAAAAAAAAATATAGAAATTTGAATTGCTGACGTCAGCTGAATAGCCTGGATTTTTGTGTAGTGGGGTGGGGCAAATTGAATTTTTTTTGCAGTAGAAGTGCAAATTAATAATTTCCAATTCCAGTGGGGGCAATATTGATTTTAAAGCAATATGTACAAATGAAAATTTTCAAGAGTCAATATGGGGACAATTGCCCTCACTTGTGCCTTTATAAATCCGCCCTTGGTGATCATCATTTTTGTAAAGCTTAAAAATAGCAGTTGAGTACTTTGCCATAGTTTACATCATTAATCATTTAGAACTTGATTCTGTGTTGTTCTCGTTGTTTTTTAATTGTAAGTATTATTATGAGCTAAGACTGAGAAAACTGAAAACTACAGAGTCTCTATTGCTGGTTAGTTTATTCTAATTCCTCTTTTTTAATATTTTGCAAAACTTATTTTGATGAACACCTTCTTTTTTTTTTTCATTGTGACCATTTACTTGTTTGTACTCGTATTTTCACCTCGTATGTATCAATTGTATATTACTTACATATGTAATGGCATGCAATATAGTGCATCACATCGGTAGTTGAGCAAAATAAACACAGTGACATTGTTTATTACTATCTTTTCAAAAAGGGGCAGTGTATGTTGCCTAAATAAGTGCACAAGGAGTATTGAGTTCTTTTTGTTGCTTTTCTATATTCTGTTTTTGATGGCATTGAGGTAAATTTATGAATACATACAACCGTTGCAGGGCTTAAAAACTGCCATCATTGAGGGGGATGTAGTTGGAGGAACATGTGTAAATCGAGGTTGTGTTCCTTCCAAAGCGCTCCTTGCTGTAAGTGGCCGCATGCGGGAGCTTCAGAATGAACAACACATGAAGGCTTTTGGTTTACAGGTGAATAAGAGTGTCGTAACCTCTTGTTTATAAGATGTTCGAATCTCATGCTAACTTTCAAATTTCATTTATCTATCACGACATTATAACTTTTATTGCTTTGATTAAAATTGTGCTCTACTTTGCAATTACTTGCGTTGGGTGTTCATCATTCCTCACTCAATGTTTGGGTTCAAGTCATGATTTCCACATGTGCAGCGGCCTGTTCTACGAGATCTGCTAAGACTGGGCCCCCATATAGGGGTTCCTGCCAACTTTCTTCAGTGGCTTTCTTGTCTAGCATCTAAACAGGTGTATGATCATTTACCAAATATACAGTGCATGATTGCGCCTCATGAGCCAAAATATTACACGAGTTTATATAATATAAGTTTGAGAAGTGATTTCCATTTTTAACAACCACACAATTCTAAGAAAATACTACAGTAACACTGATGCCCTATTACACTTAAGCTTCTCAAAGATGCACTTATAATACTTATAGTACCTACTGGAGTACAACAGAATCACCACCATTAAATCAGTCGGTAATGGCTGGGGAAGGAATTCACATAAGAATAATGTGGTTTGGATACATGAGGTAGTGAACCATCATTTTATTAAATGACTTTGCTATTAAGGTAAAAATTTAATAGCACATCACCACCTTTTTTTTTCTTGAGCATTTTGTGGGTTATGTTATGGCTTCTTTATGTGAGGCATTTTGGGGAATCACCAAGAAATCTCTGTTATCAGAATCTTACGATTCGCGATTCGATTCACAATTCGATTCGAATTTTTTGCAAAATCGATACGAATTATGGGTGAATCTATTTTGGAAGTAAATCTCTAGTGAGTCGCATGATTCACAATCGATTCATAATTCAATTCACTTTTTACGATTCACGTAATTTTTTAAATTATTGTGTCAGAATCACCACCATTAAATCAGTCGGTAATGGCTGGGGAAGGAATTCACATAAGAATAATGTGGTTTGGATACATGAGGTAGTGAACCATCATTTTATTAAATGACTTTGCTATTAAGGTAAAAATTTAATAGCACATCACCACCTTTTTTTTTCTTGAGCATTTTGTGGGTTATGTTATGGCTTCTTTATGTGAGGCATTTTGGGGAATCACCAAGAAATGGACTTGTGACTACCTGTATAAGGTTCATGGGTTTTTTGCATTCATTCAGAAAAGAAGCGCACAACAAGAAACATTTCAAAATAATAACAATCCTCAGACATTGACTAATGGATGCATAACTGTTGAAGATATGTACTTTTGTCATGCAAATAAGCTTATAAATTACATTGATCTTATCTGAAGAAAAAATCTTATATTATTGAAAGTTCTTTCCTATCCAGTTGCTAAGCAATCATTTGAATATCAGCAAAACTTATGCTCTGTGTTCATCTTTATAAAGAAAAGAAATCCACATTTCTTTTTGATGTGGTTCGATACCATGTTAACAATCAACTTCACTTAGTGCATAAGCTTTTAAGGGAGAGCAGTAAAATGTTTGTATAATTGATTTGGTACTCTTCAAGATGGATGAAACCAACCTATTTGAAGACATCATTGCTTCATCCCAGTGCATATATAGTCATTGTCTAAGAGTAGCTAATGTTGCAACATTGTCCACTGTCAACTGTAAGGTGGTGGTTATATTCAATGGAGAATAAATTATTATGCATGTGGATTTCAACCTAGATGTTTAATCACTTTCCAACTTTTGGGGAACCTGCAAATACATCTGTCTAGATGTTTTTCCAATTCTACAAAATCCCAAACTTTTAAAATATGTGCCCTGATTTTCCATGCATATTTCTTTTTAGAATACTCGGTAATTATTTTCTACTTGTGGGTCGTATATTTTCTGAGCCCATGTCATGTTGACTTCATAGCTGATGTAGTATGGGTTGATTTGGCATGCGCTTATAGCTTATGATTTATGGCATCCTTATACTTTGTGTCTATGCTCTTTGGTGTGGGTTTAGTATTGTTTTGTTTTCCTTCTGTGCACCTTAAACGCAGTGCTGCTGTCTAAAACTTGACAACAGGTTGCAGCTGCTGGTTATGACAGACAGGCGGTTGCTGATCATGCAAGTAATCTTGCCTCAAAAATACGAAGTAACTTGACCAATTCAATGAAAGCTCTTGGTGTTGATATATTGACTGGTGTTGGTACAATTTTGGTATGTTGGATATGCTGAAATTTGGGTTCAGTAAAAAGATGCTATAAATTCAATAGAATAATTATGATTCAATTTATAATTGTCATTTGATTAATGGTGCTTAAAATGAGTATCTATAAATGATGGTGTTAATCTTTCATGTATAAATCAGGGTCCACAAAAAGTGAAATATGGGGCAGACAACGTAATAACTGCAAAAGACATAATCATTGCTACTGGTTCAGTACCTCTTGTGCCGAAGGGAATTGAAGTTGATGGTTAGTGCTTGTTTTGTCATCCTTCTACTACTATCTAGACTTTCTAGTTAAGATGTAGAGTGAATATGTTTTTGCAGATCATGAAATTGTTAGGAAGTTCTTGTGAGGTAACATGCTTTTCAATTCATCACTCTTAACAGTTAAAGAGCTCCCTGAATGACAAACAACATGGTAAGAATATGTGCATTACTTGATAGGATAAACTGGTATTTTCGTACTCTTTGTCTGTCACATTAGGATAGCTGTGCACATATTGTGACATACTTTTGAGCATACTTAGTATTGCATAATACCAATACTAATTGGCTCTATGAATCGGTATTACCAAGTATTTTCTGATATTACGTGGAATATAGTTTAGTGGTACGCTTAGCTTAGTAGTAGAGCGTTTTTTTTGGCTGAATTTTTTTCCATGTTTTGGGTCATAACTTCCGGTGTCTGTTTATGGAATTTCCCTTTGGTTTTAATATGAAAATATACTACCTTTCTTTGGTTCATGACACCACTAAGCTCTTCTGGATAATGGCTTGCAGGTAAGACTGTAATAACCAGTGATCATGCACTCAAACTGGAATCTGTTCCTGAATGGATTGCCATCATAGGAAGTGGTTATATTGGTCTTGAATTCAGTGATGTGTATACAGCACTTGGAAGTGAGGTAGGCATGGTTTATACTATCTGAAGAACTTTGTGTGAAGTTAATTTCATTAAAAATAGAAAAAAAGTATCTATGGAGTAGCTTCTGATAATTAAATGATGAACATGTATTCTTACGAAGGCTATATATTGTATTAGTAGTAAATGAAATAGCTAAATGTTTTGCCAGAAAATTAGAATTTAAGTGTTTTCCCAACTTAATTCCCGTAAGCTTTGCATTAACTGTCTGAGTTAGGACAGATGTGTTTGTACTCAGTCCACCTCTCCCCAGTACTTGAACCCAAGACCTTTCTAACCCGAGCTCTAATTCCATGGTAGATCACCACTAGTTTTAAAAGCTTAAGCAAGTGGGAAAGTGACATAACAATGCATATCAAGCTCTCCAACGGAGATTTCCCCCACTTGACTCCCACATCCACCCAGAGGACTCCCACATCCACCCAGAGTTTCCCCCACCTCCCTCTGACATTCCATCCAGAGTTAAGTCACTACTTTGGATTGTCGTCTAGATTTTGTATCACGAAGTTAAATGAGTGATATCTCTGTCTTTTCCCATTGATCATTATAAATGCAGTAAGATTTACCCAAGTCACCAAAGTAACAACAGCACTATATTGCAGGTCACATTTGTTGAAGCACTAGATCAGCTTATGCCTGGTTTTGATCCTGAGATTGGTAAACTGGCACAGCGGGTTCTTGTAAATCCTCGAAAAATTGATTATCACACTGGTGTATTTGCAAGCAAGGTGCTTTGTGGCTTACCATGAACTTACATGTTTTTTATTTGCATTGGCAATATCCCAAAAAATATATTCCATTTTTTTTTTCCTTTTCTTTTTGTTTTAATTTTTTCCCCTTGTATGGTAAATGTTGTTAACAGATTACTCCAGCAAAGGATGGAAAGCCTGTAATGATTGAGCTTATTGATGCTAAGACAAAGGAACCAAAGGATACTCTTGAGGTAAGTTGCAAGCATCTTGTCTAAGCAAACATTCGAGGCTCCTACACAATGTTGCATATGTGTATGTGATGGAGCAATGCTTTGGTGTCAAATATAGCATATCTCTGCTATAATAAACAACTACATAGGAATACTTTAAATTGTCAACTATTTCAGTAGGCAACAGAAGAAATCAAGTTGCAGTCCATCTTTATCAACTAAGATTAATTCTCTGTTTCACCACATTTTTATTTCCTTTCTCCCTTTTGAGGTGAGTGTAAGCAGAGACACTTCATCTCACAATTTGGTTCTCTTGATTAATGAAAGAAGGTCGAACAAAACCTCAGTCCTGAGCCAATTTTATACTACTAATATGATAATGCTATAGCACCTTGTTCATATTGTTCAAATATATGTAGAAGTTATTCTAATTTTGGTTGTCTCTACAATTTAGGTTTTGTGGCTCATAAACTTTGGCATTGTATTGTGGTCTAACACTATTCCAAACAATGCTGTGAACTTTGTATGAGCTTTTCTTATTGCTCCCAACCAAATAGTTGGTATTTGAACATTGTTCTGTACCCTTTAGTTGAAGTCTAGCAGTGCACATGAAATGCATACTTGAGCTCAGGGAATGTGTTGAACTGTTAATGTCAGCATAAACTGTTGGAGAAAAGGCTATTAATTCACACAGCCACTACTCAAGTTTTTGCTCTTGCATTTTGTGAATTTTGTTATCGTCATTACCAGTTGATTATTATGGCTTTATTAACAAGGAAATGAGTTGCAAAAGTGAGACTGTTCCCTATATCTACAGTTGTTTCCTTTAGTGTTCTATTCTCTTATGATAAATTGATGAATCATAATCATCTTGTCGCCATCCTAGCATAACTTTGAACTATGTTATGTACTCTGCAGGTGGATGCTGCTCTCATTGCGACTGGAAGGGCTCCACATACAAAAGGGCTTGGCTTGGAAAATGTTAGTAGATTAGGAAAATAACACATCTCAACTACTAATGGAACATCACTTTTACAAGTACTAAATTGAGTAATCTAATACACCTTTTTCATTTGCAGATCAATGTAGAAACTCAACGTGGATTTGTCCCTGTTGATGAGCGCATGCGTGTAATCGATGCAAATGGAAAATTGGTCAGTCATGAGTTTTGTTCATTTGTATGTAGTGTTTGGTTATATCTTGTTTTATTGACTCAGATCTGGAATAATTAGGTCCCTAACTTGTATTGCATTGGTGATGCAAATGGGAAAATGATGCTTGCTCATGCTGCAAGTGCACAAGGAATTTCTGGTAACAACCTCATTCTCTACTTCATCAACCATATAGTATTTGTTGTCCAGTTGTATATAGACTTATATGACTTGTGGCATTGCTTCCTTAACATAGTTGTTGAACAAGTCTGTGGGAAGGATCATGTGCTGAATCATTTGAGTATCCCAGCGGCATGCTTCACTCATCCTGAAATCAGTATGGTTGGATTAACAGAGGTAAGTTGTGCCTTTGCAACTTTGCTTCTTCTGCCTGTGTATTATTTTGTTTCCCAGAATGTATGTTACATTATTGTTTCACAGAACCGACTCTTTAAAAATTCAAAATGGTCATTGTAAATAGGTAATAATCTTTTAACTATTTATTAAAAACACGAGTCCTTGTTTTAATCATTTTATGTGTGTGTGTGTGGGTGTTATGTGTTTCTTTAGATGCATCTTGTGTTTACTAGCACATGATTAGTTAATATAGGTGGCGTGGCCAGTGGGGAGAATATTTGCGGTGAGTATTATTTTGCTGATATTTGAAGTCTATTAAAAAAACCTAAGAGAATTTGTGTACCAGGAGAAAATTGTTTCTTTGCTAGAAATGTTTTCCTTCCCTAACCCAGAAATAAGTTGCTATGTCCTATTTCCTCCCACTTTTGGAAGAAACCAAGTTGGTTCTGGAGGAAGAAAAGATAGCTCCCTTTCCCTCCAATTCCCTTGTATCATTCTAATTGAGAAAAGGCATACACTATTTTCGCCCCTTCCTTTCTTTCCAGAGCAGCTACTATCACATTGACATGAGCTTTGGATGGAGAGGCTTCTGAATGTGATATAGCCATTTTAACACTACTTGAAGTGATTAATTTGTGTTTAGTTTTGAAGTTTTACAACTGATGTTAACTATGGAAGGACAAAGACACAGAAGAGAAGGTTTGAACTTTGAAGAGACTTTTGGAAAATTGGTTCATTTAGAAACACAGATTTCCTTGAAGTTACATGAATTAATAAAGCATTGTTGCGAGATGTTGGTTAAGATCTATATAATAAGTTTTATTGTTGTGTGCATTTACTAATTTTAGTTTTTGCATCTAGAACGTATCTAAACCTTAGGCACGTAATAGGATAGTTCCCTGTTAGGTACTTGGCTATGAAGTAGGGTCCTAAGGTCCCCTAGTGATAGGGATTTAATTATCTTATTCAACGAGTGAATGAAGTTGTCTTCGAAGCTTATTATTCCTGATGTGTGATTCATCTTCTGTTAGATATGGTTACCTAGAAATTTCTCTGTTTTTCTTTTTCTTCTTTAAGTGTGATTGCCCAAGAAGCTAGGTATGACTGCCTAGGCATTTCCTTCATCTAGATCAAGAAATGTGATTCTTCTTGATAATATTGAGGTCCGTTGCCTAAAAATTGTCCCTTATTCCTCTACTGTTTCCATTCTCTACCATTGTTGTCCCATTTACTGCCTTGCCTATTCCAATGTTCTTTGATTAAAGAGAACCACACTTTTTAGACCAAGTGCTGTCCTGCTCCTACATTAGTTGGCTGGCTATCAGGCACAAGTTTAGTATTGAAGGTTCTGGCACAAGTTTGGTATCATGTCCTCCATCAACAAGTTCTCATCAAGTTACTTTTACATCAGCTGTTCAATTATGGTGGAAAATCAAAAGATTTTTACTTTAGTTTTGTGTAATACAAGAGTTAATGCTCCCAGCTTTGCTAAGACTATTTTGGATGTATACCATACTTTCAACCGTGGGGATAAAAAATGACTGAAGTTCAAGAAAGGTGTATAATCAGGTTAGTCGTAGAAGAGTATCTACTATGCTAAAATTCAGATCATATACGCTTTGTCAAACGATCAAAACTTAAGCACTCTCATCCTGCATAGCACAGGACATTCAACTCTATTTTTCAGTGATCTCTAATACTTTAATGAGCCTTCCCCTTTGCCTTTGGCAACCAGAAATATTTTCAGCTAATAATGTGGGTTCTTAGTTTTCCCAGGCTGACAGTGAAGTGCATTTTAGGTAACTTGTCCCTGCAGGATCTATAAACAACTTTTTGTATGGTTCACTAGTAAATTATGCAAGTCGAACCTAAAGAGCAAAAGTAATAAGAGTTGATGATAGTTTGGCCTTGTATAGTTTAGTTTTATACTGAGGAGATAAACAAAAGTTAAGTCTTCATCTGTAGTCCCTCCCTTAGATGAGTTTTTTTTTCTCCTCGTAATTTTTCAGTTTACCTCAGCAGAGTTTCTGTCTTGAATTCAAGAAACAATTATAAAACATTCCTAATTTTCCTAGCATGGTCTCGTATGAAGAAGTTCATTTCAACATAATACTGAAAATCATAAAAGAGTTTGCTCTTTTTCCAGTTTTGGTTCACTGTTTTCAAATGTTGCAGCCTCAAGCAAGGGAAAAAGCTGAAAAAGAGGGATTTGAAGTCAGTGTTGCCAAGACTAGTTTCAAAGCTAACACAAAAGCTCTTGCCGAAAATGAAGGGGAAGGACTTGCTAAGGTAATATACATAATTCCATTAGCTTCTAGGAGTGTGGTGTGGCATGTTTAAAGATCTGCTTTTCCTTTTATCCTCATTGGGAACTGTTGCAAGTTTTCTCATTGTTCGAAGATACAATTAGGTTGCATGTTTACTGAAGTCTATTGGTTTTATGCAGTTGATTTACAGACCTGACAATGGAGAGATTCTAGGAGTGCATATCTTTGGATTGCATGCTGCAGACCTCATACATGAAGCATCCAATGCAATAGCTCTGGGAACCCGGATACAAGTATACTTTTTCCCCCCTTCCATGTGCATTTTTAGCACATAAATTAGTAGGCTCTATATGAATATCTTCAAATAGAATGGTAACTCTTAAATTACTAACTAAAATATATAAGTTCCATGTAGCAATAGCTTTAACAACTTTCCAAAGATATGTGGTCTAATTTTAAGAACCCTGGGACAAGGGAGGTGTTTGAACATTGCTTGGAAATTTTCCAAATTTTGAAGGACTAAATGATGTTCGAGTCGAGACTTATATAAAACATATAAGAAAAAGAAAAAAATGACAGAGGCCCACATAATCTATTTGTTTTTTCCAAAAATAAAATAAAATTTAGAAGGTGGACTTTCAAACTTAGCAAGATATCTTGTTAACTGGAGTTATTTATGTTTCTCTACCATCTCAGTGTGTTCTGATAATCAAATCTCGCCACATGCACGGCTTGTGTCACACATTGGGAATAATATAATAACAATTGTAGCCATTTATGGAATAAAAGTTATCCTCTACATAATCTGCCATAAAATCATTTAATCAATTTACCTGTTTTGAAAGTTAAATAATGAGAAATGCTCTTACGACAAGTTTTATTATTTTTTTATCAGTTTTCCAGATGATGGTTGAATCGCTTAATTCTGTTGGGATGTTCAATAGTCTCTCCTTTACTACTTCCTATCTTATAAATTATTACTACATATATATATATATATAATGTAGTACCTTCATTAAAATATTATCCATTCAATATTTGTTCGTTCTATATCAATAGTTTGCAACACTTACATCCTGCAGGACATCAGAATCTCGCCACATGCACGGCATGTGTCACACATTGGGAATAATATAATAACAATTGTAGCCATTTATGGAATAAAAGTTATCCTCTACATAATCTTAATGTAGTACCTTCATTAAAATATTATCCATTCAATATTTGTTCGTTCTATATCAATAGTTTGCAACACTTACATCCTGCAGGACATCAGGTATGCTGTTCATGCACATCCAACATTGTCTGAAGTACTTGATGAGCTCTTCAAGTCAGCCAAGGTAAGAAGCTCTTTATTCCTTGTGATGGAGGATTTACAGCAACTCAGTAAGGTTGAAACATATGATATGTAGTCTAGTTTCCTCATCAACAACATACGTCAGAATTGAAAATCACAAACTGTATTTCTGACGCAAAAGTACTCAAAATTTGCTTTTTGTGGATTGATTAGTTAGTCGGCCAACTAATTAAGCAAAAGCAACACACGTGCTCTCAATCTCTAGTTTGGAAATCTTAGGTGAGACGGCCAAATGCTTATAGGCCCCTTACATCTGTGCATGTACGAATTGCAGGTAAGGAGGAAAGCCTCCTTAGGTCCTGAACTGAGATACTCTGTCATTTTGCACTGGTACATTAGATCACCCATTTCACCCAAATAACATTGAACAACACATATTTTCTTTTCCATGTCGTCTTTTGCACCTTTTGAGAAAAATAAATGTATGATATGGTGAATAATACATTTTTATTTACGGTTGCCTCTCACGATGCAGGTTAAAGTTGACAGTTCTAGTTCTGTTGGTGAACCAGTTGCTGTCTAAGCTTCTCAGCAAGGTATAATTTATTGAGATGTATAATTTTGCTGGGATTTCCATACGAAGCTGCACATTGTCTCTAAAGATGAGAAGCAAATTAGCACAGAAGCATAACTATATTAGGAAGAGTAGTTTCTGCTTTTCTTGGTTTATTGTTTCCTCAATTTTGTGTCATTCACATTACAGAGGTTCCCAATTTCTTTTTTTCGCAATAGACTTGTATGGGTATATTAGTTATTGTTTGTTTAAGGGATATTTTACTCTCCATAGTATTTGAGTTGTTAAGTTTTTGTAATGGGAGGAAATGTTGTATTTGAGAAATAAAAAAATTGATAATAAAACAAAAACAAGGTTGCTCGCTATACCAATTTGTAATGCCCTGATATTATCATCTTTTCACAACATTAGTTCCCAGCAATATAATTTATAAGAACAAGTTAGACCATTAATAAATCCATTTCATAAGTTCCAAACATTATCTCTTCCCCGTTGAACTATTCGAGTGATTATATCATTGTCAAGTACATTAATCAATAGAATAAATAGTTTAAAATGCAAGAGATAAATACAAAATATAATGCCCTACAGGCTTACAATTTTTTCAAGGATTTTCGTTGAATACACAAAAGACGGAGTTCTGTCTTCAGTACAAAATAGCCCAAGGCTTCGACAGAAAACATTCATACCTGCTCCCATCCAAAAAACCTCTCTTTAGCCAACTCACTTTGACAGCACAATAGCATCATTTTCTCAAAGGTTGTTAGTTTTTTGGGTGAGCAATTACCCAGCAGGAAATATCATTATCAAGTTATATAATTAATCGAAATACATATGATTATGCCATGCTAGAGATGAGAAAAACCAAAGCCTCTTTCTTTATAAAATCATGATGCGAAATGCTCGATCACAACAACTGATTATAACCAAAATCATGGGATGTAAATACGCTATAACGTTCCGATACAAGGCCGAGTACCAACCAAATATATACACATATATAGATTTATATACAAAAAATAATCTCCACATTTGTCCGCTCTCAAAACGGCGGGACAATGGACACCCAAGACTTTTCCTTCTTCATATTTGTTGGCTCATAAAACGGCGGGCTCGTGGACACCTAAAATTAAGTTTTTCACATTAGCTGACTCTATAAACAATAGGCTCATGGACATCTAAAAAATCTTTTCTATATTCGCTTGGCGATATGCACAAGATAGGGCAATTGGGCATTGATTTTCCTCGCGGGTACCAAATACAAAACACAACCCATTACTCAAACCCAACTTAACTATCCGGACTCATACACTATTTACCTCCTTTTAACCTTTCCCAACTTCCACAAAATTGTAGGATCACGAGAGAAATTATGATACACATGGTGCATGAGTTTTTCAAATTCAATTTCCCTAGGGTTTGTTCAATTCAACGCAACAAAATATAATATGAGCAACAATAGTATTTAATTCCACAATTTCCACAATCTCACATTTACGAATTAATACGTTCAAATGTCCAAGATAATTCAAAACCTCATGTCTCAACACTTTTGTCATAATCATTCACCCAATTCCAATATTCAAGAGTCAATTGAACCAAGCACTATTATTAAATCAAATTTAAAATTAGGATTTTAAGATAATTGGAGCTTTTCCTTCCTCTATACTTTAAGAGTCAATATCCATCATCTGTAACAGTAATCAACAAGAAACATTAAGAATCTCTTCCAAAAATATTAGGTATAAGCCACTTTTGTTTATTAAACCATTTTATAGCATAATACATATCATATAACTTGATATCTAATGAAAATACCACATGAGTCTCAAATCAAAGATATAATAAGTTAAAAGTATCCCTACCTCAAGATTGAAGATAAGGAATAAAAACCCAACTTCGAACTTCAAGAAAACGAGAAATAATTAGTAAAACTTTAAAATCAAGCTTGTTTTTCAATTCCTTTGGAAGATCTAAGGTGGATCTAGGGTAAAACTAAGGGAAATCAAGTGTTTTAAGGTTAGGGTTTTGGAAATGGATGTTAGAGAGAGAATAGATGTGAAAATAAGTGAAAGAGAATGAGTTTAGATCGACTTTTAAATGTGTTGTCTTGAACAGACCAGCGTTCAAGCGGAGTGCTCAAAATCAAAGAGATCACTCAAACAAACTTTCCACCACTCCAGCAGTATGCGCAAGGTTATAAAAGTTTTGCAGAGCTACAATGAAAATATTAGGGGCTTCATTTCTATGCTCGAGCGACCATTTAACCATTTGAGTGGTCTCATCTGCAAACATGCAAGATACCAGGAGCTTTGCATTACTGCTTGTGCGACTGATTGACCGCTCGAGCGGTCTCCCAGGATAGATTGTTACACATCACATCAGTCACCCCTAGCAAGCGCTTCTCACAGTGAACACACCAGTCAACATTGCCTCTATAGTAGGCCCTTTTCGTTTGCCGTAACATTAGACTCTTCTCAATCACCCCTAGTAAGTCCTTATCGTTTGCCCTAATAGCAAACCCTTCTCAATCACTCCTAGCAGACTCTTTCGTTTACCGTACACATCAAAACTCTCATTTATTTTTTGTGTTTTGTTCTTCCAAACTCAAGTTAGTTTACCTAAAGTTAGTTTATCTACTTGAGTTTGAGGGAGATTGTTAAAGCATATTTAGAATATGTTATTTTTCATCTTTATTAGGTTTTCATATTTCTATTAGTTTCCTTTTTCTAATGATTTCTTGATTAGCACTCTATATAAGTACTACATATAGGCTACCTTTTGAAATAGTTCATTAACAATATTATTTAACATTATTTAATATATAAATATTCTTTTTTCTCTCTCTTTTCTCTTCTCTCTCCATACAATTATCGTAACAATTAGAAAGCTCAAAAGATGTTAAGGTGCTTATAAATAGCCCCAACCAAATCATCTAATCCAACTTATATTTTAATTAATTTATTTTTTTGTTCTTAGTTATATAGTTTCCTTCGCAATACTTTCTTTATCAGTTTTGTAATCTCTTTACCTCTAACAACAATTCATTTACTTGTACTTTGTTTCAAATGAGTAATAAGTAGTTTTTGAGGTAATGTACTGTTCAAATTAATAATTATATTATTCATTCGATCAATTTCTCTCTCTTCTTCTTCATTCTAATTATCATATACAATTAATATTTGAAAAATGTTATAGATCTCAAATAATTTATCAAATTTTCTACCAAAACTATCACATAAGTGTGAGACTCACACAAATCCACAGGTGTGTAGATTCCACACCTATGTAAGAGCTTTAGTAAAAAATAGATAAATAATAAAAAATTAAAAAAAAAAAATTCAACACAATCACTTGATCATCATTTAACGTGAAATGAATCAATAAGCTCAAATTTATAATTCTAACCTTCAAAGTAGAAAGGACAATGAAATGTTCCAATAATCTTTAGTATCAACTTTGCACTTTTATACGTGAGATCGGGATTTTCAGTCCCCCATGGTCCCATGGGGATGGGGAAAACTCAACCTATGTGTTGAGTTAGTTTCTTCTTAGGTAGGTACACCTATAAGCTTCAAACATTATTTTTTTATAGGTAATTTAAAAAAAAATAAAAAGTTTTTAAATAAATACTTATTTATTTTCATTTCATTTTTCTAACCCGGCTTTAAATTGTTTTTTTTTTAAAAAAAAAAAATCTACTTTAACTTCAATTTTTTACTAAGACCTAAACAAAATTATAAGATAGAAAGAAAATAGATTAGTATTTTCATCAAAAATATTCTTCTTTCACCTTCTTTTTTCACTATTTTTATTCTCTGTTTTTTTTTTCCAATATTTTCTTGAGAATTATAAATCAATAAAAAGTGAAATAAATAATTAAGCGTAAATGGTTGAATGTGGAACATGGTGGAATGTTACAATTCCACGTCGATTAACAAAGGTCATGACCATATGTATATAAATTTTTTAGACACTTCTCTTTAATCATCGACTTTTAAAAATTAATTTTACTTAAAATATAAGAAACAAACAACTAATAAAGAGCTTATAATAGAGAAGAAAATTGTCTCATTAGATTGACCTACCTCTTAATTGAGACTATATAAAAACAACCAACCATTTCACATGCTCATTTATAAATTTATAATTATCTATTTCATTTCCTTTTAATTTACAATTCTCAAAAAAAAAAAAAAATCCCTTATGTGTACAAGTCAAGGACCAAACAAAAAAGAAAAAGAAAAAATAAGAGACTAATGTATAGATCTTAGATAGATTTATTATCTAATAGATTTTGTGAAAATTAATGATGTTTTTCATTTAATACTATTAAAAAACGTTACTAATTGCTAATTTTTAACAATAGTTTAAAAATTTTACAAAAAAAATGTTACTAATTATAACTTTTAGTAACAGTTTAAAAAAATCGACACAAAAATATGTCATTTGATTTTTAACTTTTAGTGATAATTTAAAAAATTCATCACAGAAAATATTACTAATTGTAAGTTTTAGCGAAATTTATAAAAATAGCGATAAAAAAAGTTACTAATAATTGTCAATTTTTAACGACATATGCAAAAAATCGTTTTAATAAATTATTGAGCAAATTACACTAGTAGCCTCTATAATTAGGGGCTTGTGTCACTTTGATCCCTAACTTTTCAATTATAACACATTTGACCATGAATTTTAATCTTATTCCAAATAAGAACAATTGAAGATACTATTATTTAATTTTAAGGGTAAAGTTGTCAATTTGATGAAATATAAACTAATTTGATAAAAATAAATATCAATTTTTTTTTTGAATTTTTAAAAATTATTTCTACCTATCAAAGATAAAATTATGTAAAATTGATAAATCTTTTATACATTTATTTCTTTTTTTACCAAATTAATTTTTGTTATGTATTTGGATGATGATCATGTAATGGGTAGTTGTTAAACTTTTAATGTATAATCGGTATATTTAATATATGAAATTTTTTTGATTTTTGATTTTTTGATTTAATGGATTAGTTTAATAATAATATTAAAGTTGTCGTCATATTTGACTTTTGAAAAAACAAAAACTAATTTAATAAAAATAAAAACAACCACATATTATATGATCATCATCAAAACACATAATAAAAATTAATTTGATAAAAAATAAATAAATGTGTAAAATATTAATCAATTTTACATAATTTTATCTTTGGTTGGTAGAAATAATTTTTAAAAAATAAAAAATATTTTTTGACATTTATTTTTGTCAAATTAGTTTACATTTTATCAAATTGAAGACTTTGCCCTTGAGATTGAGCAATGATATATTCAATTGTCCTTATTTGCAACAATATTCAAAATTTATGGCCAA